CTGCAGCTCCACACTGCCCCCTGCTGGACTCCCTGCAGCTCCACACTGCCCCCTGGTGGACTTAAAGTGCTGTTGTTGTTGTTTATAGCCGGTTCTAAAAAACGACCCACTGTATCTATGACCCGGTCACACCTGGTCGTCAGGCTCCTGCAGTTTCACGGAGCTGAGGTGTTAAGTTTGAACAGACACAAGCCAGCACAGTGGGGGGGGTTAACTTGTCACTGCGAGGACACTGTGTTTATTCCTCATGCTTGTTTCCATGACAATCATCAACCAGCCAATTAGCGTACCACTCTGGCCATGGAGGGTGACTTCCTGCTGGGGGCAGGACTTAGGTTCAGCTCCTCCACAGGTGATCTGGGATGGAGGAGGGGGGTCATCACTGAGCCTCCAGCCCCTCGGGGGTCCAGCGCTCTGACCCCACTTCCTCCAGTCTCACTAATGACGACACAGATGGTGGACAGGGGCTCTGACGGTGAGATCGGCGTCTTCACCTCACAGATGGTCATCAGTGACCCCCCTGTGATGACATCATCAGCAGCAGAGAGCGGAATGACTCGAACCTGCCTGTCCAGGTCAATGCTTGGTGTCATGGCAACATCAGAGCTATTATCCCTAGTTGTCATGGTGACAGTCCTGCCCGAGGTGGTGTCGTAGCTCCGCCCCACAGTGTAACTCTTCTCTCTGATTGGCTGAGGGGATCGTTGGTTTGTTATGACCCCGCCCTCCTGGAGCGCACAGGTGAGCAACATCAAACACACAAACTAATGAACCGATGACAGTGACATCAGCAAAGATACGGTTACGTTAGGTTTCCAGTAAACAATTATTTGATCAGGGTCTGTTTCAGGTTCAGTGACATCACATCCTTTTGCAGAACAGACTGCTGGGTCATTTGTTAAATGGAAACGTGGGCTGCATTCGTAAAGTCTAATAATATCCTTTCCTAACCACTAAAACATCTCCCTTCCTAACCACTATTCCTTGACCCTGATGGAATATGTCACTGGGTCAAGAAAAGATGTGAAGGAGAAGCTGTGAGGAGTTAGGAAAGGAACTAGGAAAGGAAAACCATTGTGCTGACAGAAGATACACACAAAATGTACAGCGCTCTGTGCAGTTATAATAAAGTTTCCTGTTTTAAATAGAATGACTCCTGAGGAAAGATGTTTCCTCTGCTAAAGGAGATGAGTTAGGAAGCATCGAGGCTCCTTTCCTCATCACCTAGAGAATTATTATTATGGCGGCTGCTGAAACACTTCAGGTCAGTTCACTCAGTTAAAAAGGTTCCTAAGATAAATGGACTTTTGGAACGCAGCCACCATGTGACCGGACCTGTATGACGTCACCGTGTCAGTGACTGAACACCTGAACGAACCTGCAGGATTGATGACATCATAACTAGTCAGGAGCCAATCAGAGTCTAGTACGAATCTGACTTTACAGTGAAGAAAAAAATCATTTCATGTTTTATAAAAGCTCTGGAAGAAATAGTTACTGATTGACAGCTCAGTCGACCTACCTCTGAAGAGCTGCTGTCCAGTGGGAGGGGCTAAGAGACAGAGAGACAGTTTCAGACAGACAGACAGTTTGTTTATGTTTTATTTCCTCTCTGTCTTCGCTCTCACCTCCTCTGGCTCCAGAGGTTCGATCATCGGAGAGTCGTCGATTCGTCGTAGCGGCGACGCAGCAAGACGTCTCTCCCATTCAGTCACCCCCCCTCCTCCCCCTCCCTCTAAGAAGGAGCGCCTGAGCGCGCTGATGGTGCTCTGAGGTTTCTGGACATCCTCAGGACTCAATGTCTCCTGGGGACACAAGTAGAAGCAAGAGTGAGAAGACAGGGGTAGGACAGGTGAGGGGATGGGGGAGAACAGGAGAGGGGACAGGCAGGAGGACAGGTGAGGGGACAAGGGGGAGAACAGATGGGAGGACAGGTGACGGGACAGGGGAGAGAAGAGAGGGGAGGACAGGGGGAGGACAGGTGAGGGGACAGGTGAAGTTATATTTACCTGAGTTTTCAAATCTTCATCCTGATCAGACTGTCGGAGAGACAGACAGGCAGAGAGACAGGTTAGTGTCGTCCCCACAGTTTAAAACTCTCTGTCTCTTAATGTGAACATTTACCTCAGTGGCTGTCAGGTCTCCGTCCACAGTGTCAGTCAACTCCGTCTGAACACAAGCAAGACAGGTGAGACGGGTGAGATGGGTGAGACAGGTGAGACGGGTGAGAGTCATTAACCTGCAGGTGTTACCTTGGTTTCCTGTTTGTGAGGAGTCGGAGGAGAAATGTCCGTCGCTCTCGTCTCCTCCTCTTCCTCCATCACCTCCTGCACCACCTCCTCCACCACGAGCACCTCGTCCTCTACGAGAGACAGACAGGACTCCATTATCTCACAGCATCAATCAGCTGACTTATTATGTCCCCTCTGATTGGTTGTTTACCTTGCTCCACCCTCCTCTCCTCTGTCCTCCTCTCAGGTGTTACCATGGTGATGAGGTCACTGACAGCTATGGATTTAGATGCTGCATACAGTCCTGAACCCATATCTACACACACACACACACACACACACACACACACACACACACATACACAGTCATCGGCAGCCACAGTAACCACAGTGACGACTCAGCCAATCAATCCTCATGTTCATAATTAACAGTGAAGCATGACTCGTAGCTCAGCCAATGAGAGCTCAGGATACATGCACAGAAGTGTGGGCTGGTCAGCCAATCAGCATTCAGACCATTATCACTCTACATCACACTGCTCCACACAAGCAATGCTAACAATGCTAACAAAATTAACAATAATAACTAGTCTAACAATGCTAACTAAGCTAAGAAACCTGTTAACGTTAACAAAAGTATTCAAATTAAATGTTAGCAAAGTTCATGAGAAGATGATACAAACCCTTCACACCCCTGACATCAATGCTCCCAGCTAAGGCAGTGCACAGGCTGACAATGCTAACAAGCCATCAATGCTAACAAAGTCCCTCACTGGATCTGGATCACAGACATTCAGTTGAACTGATAACGTTCAGTAGCAGCTACACATCAGTACAAACGAAGTTAGCATGGTTTAAAGTCACGCTAATGATGCTAACCTTCAGAGAGTAACCCTGTGCAGTCACACCTCCCTCCTGTAGAGGTCAGACACCACCAGCTAAATGTTTGTCTGAGTCATTCATGACTGAAAATGTACAGAGGAAGAAAAATCATACAAAATAATAAAGAAGCAGGAAAACATCCAATGAACCTGCCCAATCAGAAGGTTTTAAACTCAAGCCCCGCCCCATCTCATACGTTAGCCCCGCCCAATGGTTTGCTTTAGAGACAGGTGTCCCCTGGTGGAAGAAACATGAAACAGCAGAAACTGTGAGGTTTCATTCTGTCTGATCATGTGGTCAATGACACGTGATGACATCATCAGAAACAGAGCTGAGAGCTGATTGGACAGAAAAGAACAACTGATCCATGAGTATCTCAGTGAAGCAGAGTCTTTCAGCCAATCAGAATGCAGCAAGCAGCTTCCTCAACAAGCTGAATGAAGAGAAGCATTCCGAGCTGTGACCAATCACAGAGCAGTATGACTTCAGCCAACAGCGTTAACGAGCTCTACCTGTGTGTGTACCGCCGTTGGCTTTGGGGAGGGCTGTGATGGCTGGAGAGCCAATCAGAGAGGGCGTGGGCGTGGTCCTCGAGCCTGAGGATTATCAAGAACTCAGGTCACTGTCGAGTAAAAACAGGAACAAAGAACTGGACCAGTTTACCTGAGAATCCCCAAATACTGGAACACTTCCAGTACTACTTTTAGGGTTACTACTACTACCACTACTACGTGCTTCTACCACAGAGACCAGCAGTAATACCAAGGTCGTTCAGTACTTTTACTCAGATGAGTTCGTCAGGGAAGCACCTCTTGCTGGAACCACGAGTAGTATGATTAGTACCTCCGTCCAGGCTGCGGCTCAGCATGTTCCTCTTGCTGACACATCGTGGGAAATTTGGTGCAGGTCTGGAGATCTGAGCGCTGGCTCTGCGACTCTGAATCTGAGTCCGACCACTGTAACGAAACTTTGAACCCAGAGACAGAAATTTCTTAGGAGGTTCCTCTGGAGACACCAACCTGAGGGAGGGAGGGAGGGAGGGAGGGAGGGAGGGAGGGAGAGAGAGAGAGTCTGATCACAACACGGCCTAAAACGCATCACACATTACAACACGGCCTCAAACGTATCACAACTGACCTGAAGAAGGAATGATGCTCCACACAGACTTTCCACAGTCTCTTTGCTGCTCTGTGGTTAAAAAGCTTAAAACCAATCGTGGACTCGAACTGGTCAAACTGGAGACACAGAGACACAGAGACAGAGAGACAAAGAGTCAAAGAGTCATAGAGTCATAGAGTCAAAGAGTCAGCTACAGAGACAAAGACAGAAACAAAGAGTCAGAGTCATAGAGTCAGCTACAAAGAGTCAAAGAGGAGGGACTAAGTTTATATTTTTAGACGTTGATGACATCATATGTGGACTCTTCTTCTGTGGTGTTGACGTGACTCTCACCTCTCCAGGTCGGATCTTTATGTAAAAGTTGTTTCTTTTGTACGAAATCTTCAGAATCTTCGGCCACGAGAATCTGTTGATCCTCAGTCTGTCTCTGTAGACGAGCAGGCCGCTACTGCACACGCCCAGCATGATGGCCACGCCCTCCGAGTCCTGCTCACCAGAATCACACACACACACACACACACACACA